GTCAGAAGTCTACACCTGCAAGGAAACTGCATGAGCATTCTATCTGGTTGATTTTCTCTCACTCTCTAATTTAGACCCACCCCTTCCTTTCACAAAGCTTCCCAGGTACAACTGAATAATGGACCAGGCTCTGAGGTCCTGGAATGCAGCAAAAATATTTACCATCTTGCTAGGAAAAGAGCCATTGAACTGATTCTATGGTTTGAGTGTTGCCATAAATTCACACAGAAGATGGTCAGCTGGAGTTGAAGTCAGAGAGGCATACGGATGGACTTTGTACACCACTAGCCTGGGGCGATAAAGGGGAGAGATTACTGCAGACAGATACCTACCTTTGATCAATACGTATGCACCAACCTGCATGGCTACTTCCTCAAAAGTTGACTCGTGACTGGTCCAGTTTACCTCCGCTGATATTTTGAATCTTTTATTGTGACTCAGTTAATCCAATCTCTAAAACTATGTTCTCCTCCCGTTCATCTGGTTGAACCATTACTAAATATCCCCATGCTGCTGATCACAAATATGGTATATAACATGTGAACACTGTTATATATTACAGACTGTAATAGACAATTTGCTCCAGGAAAGTTAGAATGAACTTGTGACTTTGAAATTATGTAATCACTTAATCACAATCAAAAAAAAAAAAAAAAAAGAACCTCCCTCGGGGAAGGGAGGGAGGGAGGGGATGGTAGGGGGAAAACAATGGAGGGGGTAACAATGTTCAAGAGGAAGTGTACTCATTACCTCACTCATGTAACTGTAACCCTCTGTATAGTATCTTTACAATAAAAAAAAAAAGAGTCAAAAAATAAATAAATAAAACTATGTTCTCTTCACTACCTATCTTTTACAGAATTGTGTGGGCTTATCTGAGGAGCACAAGAGCAAATGTGGTTGTGGTAACACATACCTGGAATCCCAATACCCAGGACACTGAGGCAGAAGGGCCTTGAGTTTGAGGTCTGCCTGGGTACATACCAAACAAACAAAAGAAAAAAAAAATCACCACGATGATCTCCAACCTGTACACGTACATTTTCTTTTCTTTTTTATTTTGAAAATACCATACAGAGGAGTTACAATTACAGGGCCAAGATAATGAGAACAACAGTTCTCATCAAGCATTGTTGCCTCTTCCTTTGTTTCCCCTTCCTATCCCTTCCCATCTCCATACCCCACCCCCCCCTCCCCCATCCTCCCCCACCAAAGTTGTAAAGTTTGTTTTTCGACATAACAACTTATACATCTCATTGTTGCAATGGGCCCACCTGTATCCTTAGTTAAACTATTTGTTTTTTCCCTTCCCCTCCACAAATTATACCAACATCAAACACAGTGAAAGCAAGGGTTATACTATGGGGGAGGGATATACACATACATTTTCTTTATGTGTTCACTGATCATTAGACACGTAGGCTGATTTCATAGCTTGGATACTGTGAATAGTGCTGCAATAAATATGATGTGCAGAAATCTCTATAGTATGTTGATTTATATGTCTTCAGACATATGCCCAGGTATGATATAGCAGGACCATGATCCTCTTATTTATGCCTCTTGCATACTGGGACCATAGGTGTAAGCCATTCTCAGCTTGTTGGTTAAGATGGGGTATCTTGCTAATTGCTTTTTCTGGGCTGGTCTGGAACCTCAATTTCTTCCTATCAAGTAGCTGTGAGCCATTGTGCCTGCTATAGTTTGTGTGTGTGTGTGTGTGTGTGTGCTATTGAGTTCCATAGTAGCTCAGAAAAGCATCTTATGTTTTTTGTTCACATGTAGAATGTAAACCTAAAATAACAACAACGACATTATGGTATGATTGTAAAAGTTGAGTTGTTGGAAAAGGGAACCAAGGAGGGGGAGGAAGAAGAAAGAAAAGGATTATGGGGATCAAAGTATTATATATTATACACAGACAGCATTTTGATACCCAATAAAAATAAACTTTAAAAGGAAAGGCATGGGGGAGGCGGTTCAGAAAGAGTAGAAGGTCCAAGTCCAGCTGACTTCCTAAGGTCTACTGGTGATTAGGCCATGGTCAAGTTGCTTCCTCCCAGGCAGCTTGGCACCTAGGCTCTTTTCCAGCAGGCCTTGTAGGTATTAACACACCTCTTTTTGCAAGCCCAAATATAGGTCTAAACTTGGCTTTCTTTTCAAGAATGACAGCTTCTGAGGGCAAAAGTTTGCTTCCATTTCCTAGAATGTCGAGAACCTGCCTGGCACACATCCAGCTGCTTTCTCCAGACCAGGGGGCTACACTGGGTGAAATGTACTCAAATAGAATATTACCCCTTCAATACTACTATTCCACTAGGACTATCTTGTTTTCCAAGCACAGTGGCTTTATTTTATTTATTTTTAATTTTTTATTGTAAAATACCATACAGAGGGGTAACAATTACATGGGCAAGGTAATGAGTACATTTCTTACCAAGCATTGTGGCCTCCTCTTTGTTTCCCCTTCCTCTCCCTTCCCATCCCCCCCCCCCCCCAGCCAAAGTTGTAAAGTTCATTTTTCAACATTATGACTTGTACATCTCATTGTTGCAATGGGTCCACTGTATCCCTATTTAAACGATTTGTTTTTGCCCTTCCCCTCCAAAAACTATACCAACATCAAATACAATGAAAGCAGGAGTTATACCGTGGGGGAGGGACATACAAAGCAACAAAGAAATCATCTTATAAATATGTTAGAAACAATTGCAAGAAAGAAAAAAACATTTGAATACTTAGTAGCTTTTGACAGAGACTGTCTTAGGTAAAAGGGTAGTTATCTGAAGAACATAGCTGAGGCTCAAGCTCAAGTAAGCCATCTTTGCCCCCATTTTTTCCTTCTTTCCCTCCCTCCCTTTCTCCTCCCTTCTCTTCCCTTCCATCCCTCCCTGTCTCCCTCCCTCCCTCCCTTCCTTTTCCTTCCTTCTTTCCTTTTCCTTCCTTCCTTCCTTCCTTCCTTCTTTCCTTCCTTCCTTCCTTCCTTCCTTCCATCCTTCCTTTCTTCCTTCTTTCCTTCCCTTCCCTCTCTTTCTTTCTTAGTGCCAGTACTGAAGGTTTGAACTCAGGGCCTGGAAGATGTCCCTGAGCTTTTTTGCTCAAAGTTGGTACTCTACCACTTAAGCTACAGCTCCACTTCTTTCTTTTGTGGTTAATTGGTGATAAGGGTCTCATGGATTTTTCTGCCTGGGACAGCTTCAAACCACATTCCTCAGATCTGAATCCCCCTCTTCCCCTCCACACACATTCCCCCCAGTAGCTAAGATTACAGGTGTGAACCATTGGTACCCAGCTCCCTCTGCTTGACTGAAAGTGAAATATTATTTGTGGAACATTGACTATGACTGGGGGAAATGATCCTGGCCTTAAGAGAAAGGATGTGTAGTCTTCCAGAAGCCTGCAGTACTTTTGTACCATAGCCTTCCAGAAGCCTGCAGTACTTTTGTACCACAGCTTTCTGCCCCTAGTTTGTTACTAGTTTCTTGGATTGTTCTTCCAGACTTTTCCTCAGGGATACATTGGCTTGCAGATCCCAATTGATGTGTAATTCTCCATTCCCCACTGGAGAATCAGCTCACTGTCCTCCAGAGATAATGGAGCATTGGTGAACAGAGGATGCTTTAATAGCTCTGACCTGAGAAGCTCAAACCTAGTCATTTGCTACTGCCAGATTTTTCCCTGGGGACTTGAATACAGAACAGGAAGGTGAACAACTACTTTATAGACCTACCAAATAAACTTCAGCTTTGCTGACGGGGCCCATGGCTCCTTTCTCTTAGGACATAAATAGGCCAGATTTAAGGCTCTTCTGCTCCTGCAGCTCCTTCTTCACTGCTATTCCCAAAAAGTCTCAAAAGTTAAACTCATGTGGGTGTGGGTAGGATTGGTATTGGAGGGAATGAAAGGGGAAAGAAGTCACTGTTTTGTTCAGCCTGATGTGGAAGATGTTTGATGTTTTCTTGTATTATATATTTTCTGTTTCTTTAATGAAACAGTCATAGAGGGGATGTCTGATCAAATATATGTATATATATATATATATATATGCATGCATGTATGAAAATACCACAATGTACCATTCGTTTACGGTAAGAAAAGAAAAACCAGACAGATGAATGTGAAGGGGACAAACTCCTGTCAGAATGTGAGGAGCAGGCAGCTAACCAGAAGCCATTTCTGTTGGCTGAGGCTCAGCACTCTTTCTGGGCACTGACCTCTTGTAGTAAAAAAGGAGTGTGGAATGAGGGTGGAGGCTGACAATTCTAAATCTGATGGAGGGACACTCATCAAAGGCAGCAGTCCAGAATGGCCTCTGCAGCCAAGCCCAAACTAACAAGCAAACACACAAAACCATCAAAACTGTGCAGGCGCGGTCTCTACCAGGCCTGGTGGCTCACACCTGTAATCCCAGCTACTCAGGAGGTTTAGATCTGAGGATCACGGTTCAAAGCCAGCTCCAGGGAGACAAACCCGTGAGACTCTTTATCTCCATTTAAGCAGCAAAAAGCCAGAAGTGGAAATGAAGCCAAGTGGTAGAGAGCTAGCCTTGAACAAAAAGGCTCAAGGACGGGCACTCAGACCCCGGGTTCAGGGAATGCACACACACACACACTCACACACGCACACACACGCACACACACGCGCGCGCGCACACACACACACACACCACCAAACAACAACAAAAATCTTTCCAGGTGCACACTTGAATACCCAGGCTGGGAAGGAGTTGTAAAAGGTGCTTCTAGCAAGGATTCGGGGACATCCCTGGACCATCAGCAATGGCGTGAGCTGAACAAGCGCTGCACCTGCCCCGCCAAAAGCCTCAGAGGTTCCAGAGCGCGCGCGCGCGCCCCCGCGGAGGGGCCGGCCAAGGGGCGTGGCCAGAGCGCCTCCGCGGGGGGGCGGGGCAGGTCACGTGGGAGCGCGCGGGGAGCCGGCGCTCGGTGCGCAGGCGCGGGCCCGGCCGATGCCGGCTTAAAGCCGTGGTGCGCGGCGCCCCGGCCCCATTCGGGAGCCAGGCGGGCGGGAGAGGCGCACCTGTGGCGAGCGTGGTCCGCAAGTCTTGGCCAAGCCCGTGAGGTCCACGGAGGCGGGGCAGGCGGGGCGCAGGTGAGGATCCCGGCGGGGCTGGTGGGCAGCGCGCGGGATGGTAGACGTGGGGAGGTGTAGCGGCCCGATCCTCCCTGCACACCGTGCACGCCACCTTCCGCTGCCCGGAGACGCGGCGCCGAGCGCGGGTCTGAGGACGAAGCCTGGCGGGGGGTGGGGGGTAGGGGTGATGGTGCCGACCTGCCCCGAGGAGGGAGGCGAGGCAGAGTGCCCGCGGTCCTGTGCAACTGGGGGAGCTTGCTCCAGCCCCGGGGGCGCGTGCCCTCCTCCCCAAGAAAAGCACCCCCCCCCAAAACCCCAGCTCCAAATTGGGGCGCCTCCCCCCCCCGCACCCCGTAAGTCGGAGAGGCGGCGTGGGAACGCAGGGGTGAACCGGGCCGCAGTGACACAGCTCATCCTGGGCCTGGGCAGGTGCAGGGGCCCGGCGGGGCCGCGCCACGGCCCTGTGGAGGCCCAGAGGGCAGCCGGTGGGAGCGGGGCGCACACCCGCAGGCCCCAGGGCGGTCGGTACTGGACTTCAGATTCAAACCACGTTGTTCTTCCTACCCGAATCACACCATGCTGTTTCCACAGCCCCGATTGCCCAGCCCCCGACTTAGTTTGTGCTTTCCAAACATTTTCCCTCTAACCCCAGTAGATGGATCTACTTAGAAAGCTAAGTGTTGCTGGACCCCTGTGGCCTTCATCTTAGATACTCCGGAGGCTGAGAGTTGAAGATCTCGGTTCCAAGTCAGCCCCAGCAGGAATGTCTCTTGAGCTGTGGCTAGCTCTGAGAAGAAAAAAAGAAATCTCAGAGACAGTGTCTAGGTCTTGAATTCAAGCCCCAGGAAGGGCACACACACACAAAGGCAAGAAAAAACAAACTAAAAAGGGAACGTTTTATTTTGAGAAGCAATGTCATAGAGTCAGCTTATAAAGTTTGCAGCTCAGTTTTCAGGAAACCCTCCAGCAAATCACATTTTAGGCAAAAATTGATGAATCATTGATGAAGTGAGTAAGAATTATTATACGTCAAGTCTATGGCATTCTAATCCTTTAATTTTTTAAAAATCTCTTGTAGAGGTGATTCAAGAATCATCCTCCTTTCACCAATGCAAAACAGTTCAGGTTCATACAGCTTGTAAGAATTAGAGTTCAGTTATTCATACAGCTTCTAGGAATTAGAACCTCCCCTTTCCCATATTCGTTTATAGGGGTATATGATTTAGTTGAGACCCTCTGTGTTGCTCCTGAAGGGGTACAACAAGGTCATCTGTTCAGCTTACGTGGCACCCAGAAGGTTTGGTTCTGACTGGAAACTTTAAGGCTCAGGTCCAACTTTATCAGTTGCTCAAGAAAAAAAGCAGGTCTCCTTCCAGTTGGGTACTTGCTTTTTTGTGAAATGTTGGGCAAAGGCTCCCCGTGTCTCTTGGCTATGGCTCGTGTGGCAAGAACTGTCCAGAGATGGTGAGAAGAGAGCCCGCATCACTCCCTTGAGTCCAGTGGCCTTTGCAACTGAATAGTGCCCTTTGCCTCCTGCCCTTTGCTAGAGCAGAAGGCACTGTGAAGCTGCCTCAGCGCTGGCATGAAGTGTGTACAGATGGCAGTAGAGGGAGACAAGCCAGGGATCTCCACCTAGAACTTCTGCCTGGGAGGAAGACATGCAGTAACACAGCTGAAGAGGGTGTTCAACATTTGGTATCTGTCCTGACCTTATAGGACAGTGAGTGAATCTGAGCCCTACAAAGAAAAGAAAAAGTGTGGTGGTGTGTGCTTGTAATTCTAGCACAGGGGATGCTAATACTATCCCCAGGTTTCCAGTGTAAGGTATTTTGTTATAGAAACACAAATGGACTACGTTAGGAAGAAAGCCACGTCTGTGGAGAAGGAATGAGAGGAGATGATGATTAAAATGATGATTTTAATGACTTTAAAACCTGGGGGTGGGGGGAGTTCAAGGTCAGCTGGATCTGCATAGTGAAATCCTGTCCAGAAAAAAACAAAAATAGCATCCACAAAAAAAGACAACATCCAAAACAAAAACAATAGGACCAGATAATGCTTCCTTTTAATTTTCACATATACCTTTCTTGAACATTGTTTTTGAAATCCTTTAAAATGTTCTTGTTTCTAATAAGATCTGAGGTACCAGAGGGTTGGGTTGACTTCTGGGGGGGGGGGCAGGAAAGAGTTCAGGAAAGGACACTGTAGTCCAGTGTCCTTTTTAGTATAGTCTTTGCCTTCTACTCACACTCAGGTAACTTGATGGAGTTGGTATTCTAAGTCCAGACTGTATTAGTTGGGGACAGGGCTGGGGGGAGGGGGGGGGATGGGTAGGGGTGGCAATCCCCAAATGCCCCACCCTCAGGTATGCCCACTCTGTTAACTTGCTTGATTTGAGCATTTGTTCAAAACTGAATTCTCAATGTGAGTGGGAGAAGATGGAGCTACAGCCAGTTAGTCACCCTGTGGGATGAGAGCTGGAGGCTGTGACACATAAATGGAGCTCACTGCAAGTGGCCAGTTCTACCATACTTAAAGACATAGGTGGGTTTGAGGGAACCTCCTGTTGCTTACTGTGTCATCACATTGATGAGCTGGCCTTTGTTTCATTTATCTATACAGTTATTATTTAGTTACTTTTTGCTGGTACTGGGGGTTTGAACTTGCTTGGACTTGATTGCTTGGCTGGTGCTTTACCACTTGAGCCATGCTTGTGGTAGGGAGCCTAGCTCCCTTTTTGGTGGTTATTTTAAACTCCCAAGACTTTTCTGCCTGGGCTGGCTTCAAATTGCAATGCTTTGGATCTGATTCTTGAACAGCGAAGATTATAGATGTGAGTCACCAGAGCCCAGGGGCTCTAAGCTGCTACTTTTGAGCTGTCTCTTTAGCATCTACACTTGCCAGGGTTTTGTTACCAGCTTCTCAGCTGCAAATGAGCAGTATAGCCCTTAAGATAACATTTGACATTGGTTTATAAGCTACTTGCCAGGACCATGGAGAGGCCAGGCTTTGCTCCCCGCACCTGGTTTCCCAGGCCTGGTTTAGGAACACTGTCACTCCCAGAGTGCTTGGGGCCAGTGATCAAGTTTTAGCACCTGCAAGGCCTCTTTTCCTGAGCCCTTACCTTTACTGTCCTGGCTTTAGAAGCCTGACCCATAGCTAGGACCCAGAGTGTTTGATGTTATATTAAAAACTATGGGCAGGGGTTGGGAAGGTGGCTCAGTGGTAGTGTGCTTGCCTTGCATGCATAAGGCCCTGGGTTTGATTCCTCAGCACTACGTAAACAGAAAAAAACAAAAGTGGCACTGTGGCTCAAGTGGTAGGGCACTTGCTTTGAGCTGAAGAGCTGAGGGACAGCGCCCAGGCCCAGAGTTCAAGCCCCTCCACCACCACCACCACCACCAACAACAACCTATGGGCAGCCAGGCACTGGTGGCTTACATCCTTGCCTCCTCAGGAGATCTGAGGGTCACAGCTCAAAGCCATCATGGGCAGAAAAGTCCCTGAGACTCTTATCTCCAATTAACTGTCAGAAAACCAGAAGTGGAGCTGTGACTCAAAGTGGTAGAGTGCTAGCCTTGAGTGCAATAGCTCAGGGACAGCGCCCATGCTCTGTGTTCAAGCCCCAGTACTGGTCCCAGCAAAAAAAGAATTATGGACTCACTAGCTGTGCATTTGGCCATGTTTTAGCCAGTCCTTCCTTGGGCCTTAGTTTTCTCATTTAAGGGAAACTGAATTAGTGTTGCTTTAAAGAAGGAGAAGCTGGTTGAGGAGATCTGGGGTAGAGGGAGCATTCTTGCAGCCTTGTTCACTGAGACCTGAGGCAAGGAGGCTCAAGAGGCTTTTGTCCTCCTTTGTCTCCCTTGCCCCTCCTTCCTTTTCTCCCTTCTGCCTCAGGCCCCTTTGTTCTGTTGAAGGAGGATTCCCTGGGTGAGGCCCAGCTGGGCAGGTGTACCCTTGATGTTTATGATGTGATGCTGTCTCTACTTGTTTCTGGCATGAATTAACTCACACAGTGCTGATGTTTTATCTTATTAAGACTTTATCGGTTCCTGTGCAGAGGCAACTTCTTCCACCTGCAGCAGTTATGGCAGAGAAGGAAGTGAGAATGGGTGCAACCAGCTGGCAAATAATCATGTCAGGCACTCCCATGGCTTTCTAGAAATCAGATCCCTGTGGCTTCAGTTGTTGGTATTTTAGTATGTGGATGTCAGAGTTAGGATGTCCTCTATCATCTCCTCAGATGAGCAGACCCAAGCCCAGAATATTTTCATGGTTTATGTTAGAATGCCTAGCAGTGGAGCTAGGACTCAATGTAAGGTCACCTAAGCCCCAAACTTAGGTCAAACCTGTCCAAAGTTGCCTCCCATACTGAGCTAAAATTGGATGATTGTAAGTTCCAATTCTGCCTCACTGAAAATTAAAGAATAAAATTCACATCCCTTTATTAGGCATTAAACATATCTTCTAGAATCCATGTTAAGGGCTAGGATGCAGGAATGAGTAAGACAACAGCCCTTAGGGGCTGGGAAGGTGGCTCAGTGGTAGAGCGCTTGCCTTGCATGCATGAGGCCCTGGTTGTGATTCCTCAGCACCACATAAGCAGAAAAAGCCAGAAGTGGTGCTGTGGCTCAAGTGGTAGAGCCCACTTGCCTTGAGCTGAAAAGCTGAGGGACAACACCCAGGCCCAGAGTTTAGGCCCCATGACCAACCAAAGGAAAAAAAAAAGACAACAGCCATTGTCTTCAGGCTGTGCAAGGACCTACAATTCATACAGTCCATTTGCACAGTGTGCAAAGGTATGTGTATGTTCACACATACATGTGCACTATCAGAGATGAGAGTAGTCATTTAGCATGAAGTTTGGGAAAGGATTTGGGGCAAAAGTGTTATTTGTGCTGAACCTCACAAATACATCAGTGTTTAGCTGACATTGGGTGGGCAGAGCATTCTGAGTAAAGGAAGCATCATGAACAAATGTGCAACCTTAACCTGGAATAGTCCGGTAAAGGCACTTT